CCTGTCTTTTGCTTTTGTAAGTGACCTATACATTTGATCCTCCAGGAGTGTTCACTGAATGGACAGATGACACATTCTCTCCTTTGGACTCCCATAGTATTTGGATGTGTATCATTATGCCTACTAATTTTGTGCATTGAGAATTTATGTGTTGTTAGGTTTGCTATCAGGGTCGTGGTGTCTTACACATTTCCAATGGCTAGAGTGAGTTATTGATCTAGTTTGGCTGGACATGTATTCCCAGACTTCAGGAATTGCTGCTGACTTTCTAGGAAAGGCTTAAGGTCTTGTTGCTCCTAGTTATCAACAACAGGGGCTATTTGGTCCCATTTTGGTTTTAATTGGGCAAAAGTTTTGGACCACTGCAGCTTTCATACAACTTTTTTCCAAAAAAATTCTGTAATCTGGTAATTTTAGACTTTTATTTCTTTTGTTTTGTCTATTGCCTTTTGTGTATAGTGAGATTTTTTTTTTCCTCTATTGTTTGTAGTTTTGGCTTGTGAATACCGCCCTGTCCTACCTAGAGCGTTCTCTGTGGGATCCTGTAGAGCTCTGGTTTGAAATGCAGCCTTTGTTGTAATTTCTTGACTTGGAGGTTCCAGAACTACTAGCGTAATGAAAATTTAAGTTTCAAACCTACGTGAGGTGTATAGGCTATTTATTTTTTTTTTTTTTCAGGTAGCAAGGTGCAATGGCACCACTATCCCGCCACTTGAGAGGCTGAGGCAGGTGACTGGCTTGAGCCTGGGAGTTCTGGGCCACCCTGAGCAACATAGCAAGACTCTGTTCAAAAAAAAAGAAAAGAAAAATGTTTTTCCACAACAAGGGGATTGGACTATGAGCACATGATAAAAGCGAGAGCACACAAGGGAGGGATGAGGATAGGTTAAGCACCTAAAAAACTAGCTAGTATTTGTTGCTCTTACGCGAGAAACTAAGCAGATACCTCAAAGCAAACTGAGGCCAAAGGGAAAAGGGGAACAGGTTACTAGAGAAAAGGTTAGATCAAAAGAATTAACCTAGAAGGTAACACCCACGCACAGGAAATCAATGTGAGTCAATGCCCTGTATAGCTATCCTTTTCAACCAGCAAAAACTCTTGTTCCTTCCTATTATTGTTATACTCTCCCTACAACAAGATTAGAAATAAGGGCAAAATAGTTTCTTGGGGTATTGGTGGGGAGAGGGAGGGGAGTGGGTGGTAAGGGAGGGGGTGGGGGCAGTGGGGAGAAATGAACCATCCTTGTATGCACATATGAATAATAAAAAGAAAATGAAAAAAAAAGAAATACAAATAGGAAAAAACAAAAACAACAAAAAAAAAAAAAGAAAAATGTTTTTCATGGTAAACTTTTCATATGCTGCTACTAGAGCCTCAATAAGGCAGATAAATGTCCTTAGCATCTTATTTGCTTGGTGGGCAATGTTTTGTGGTCCACTGTTGTCCTAAAGAGAAGAATTATGATGGTTCTGGTTTTACATAGAACTCTTAAGTTCCTACTCCCTCATTTTGTAAGAGCTGAGAAGTTATAGGTATAACATTTAGTCTAGCTACTTTAGGCAGAAAAGGTTTACACAATTTCTGGAATTGTTGAAATAGATTCAAGGTTTACTTTTGCAGCCAAATACTTACTGAACAGCTACGGGGCACCATGTTTGGTGCTCAGGATGACACATTAGTGGACAAAACAGAGATTCCCTGTCCTTTGTGGAGCTTACATTCTAGCAAGGTTTTTCTTAAGAACATTTCAGAGCCACACTTTCAAAACTGGGCTAACAAAATGCCGTGCGTTGGGGCTATTAAAGATCATCTGACAGCTTTACAACATTGCTGTGGCTGAGAAGCCACTCTGATTTGGAAGCCACTAAATGTAGTTCCAGAGTTACACTCAACCTTTTGGATCCATACCCTGCTCTTGTTGTCACAGAGCTGTTTTCTAACATCATAAATCCATGGTGATGCAGGAGAAAGCCCAAAAAACTGAACTGTACCTGTGTGCTATAGGAGCAGAAGCTGGTCTTTATCCAGTTTCTCTTTTCTGCATCCATGCTGGTGCATATGATGGTGAAGCCTAACCATCAGGAACTCAGCTGCAAGAGGTATGGGAAATGTAGTTTTTAACTTTCAGCCTCCAAAGTACAGAAGCCCTTAGGAGGAAAGTAGAATGGATATCATATCCCAGCCCTAATGTCCCCCACTTTCCTGTCTCATTCATGCTTGGTTTAAAATTCCATCCTGTATAAGGGGCAAGGATCTCTACCCTAGCCAGTTAGCTCAGGAAAATGGCAGTGCACCAGGCGTCTTGTTTTTAGCTCTCTCTGATTTTTGTTACTTGAGATTTTCTCCTCCTTGCCAACCAACTTTTGTTTCTTTTGTGTTTTTTGTTTTGTGTGTTTTTGAGAGAGGCCTATTATGTAGCCCAGGCTGGCTTCAAACTCAAATCTTTCTGCCTCTGCATTCCCAAGTGCTGGAATTACAAGGTGTACACTACCACTACCACTGCTATTCCAACTTTTGCTAGGCTGGGATGATTTTAAGGATGGGCTTAGCCTTGACTGTAGACAGAGTTCTAGATGACCCTTTACCTAACTCGAGTGGTCACAGTGTGGCGGCTGCATTCTGAAGGGACAGTCTGGACAAAGCCTCTGGAGATGAAGTGTGCACAGATAACCCAAGAGTCTGGTGTCTGCCTGGACTCCTTCTCTCCTGCTTTCAGGAGCTGCTTCATTTCTGCTCTGCTCCTTGGTGCTAGTAAAGCCAGACCACAGAAAGGGAATTGGATCGCAAGCACCCAACGCATTACAAAGAAAGCACAAGCGCAGTGCTAAGATTTGGATACCATTGTGTTTAACACACACTTCTGCGTCAGCATTGAAACACTAAGATTTTGATGATGCCACAGGTGAGTCTCTGTTCCTGGAGAGTGTTTTTAGTTCTAGAGCCCACTCATGGAAAAGTTGTAAAGTGTTGGCAAACAAACAGTGTGTTGAAATGATTCCTTTTGGACAAGCACTGAGTAGATTTGAGGGAATGAGGAAGAGAAGTAAAGTAAAACTAAGGCTGAGTGAGCATCTAGTAATAAGGGCTGTGGGAAAGTGGCTGGGAGGGTTGTGGTAACAAGTCACAGCTGACCAGGTCAGTACAAGGGATGAAAGGGAGCAGGTGTGCTGACAGTGCTGTGGGTCCTGGCTTGGCTA